TTCTCACCCTCTCCAGCCTCCAACTGCCCATATACCCCACCCCTACAATCTCCCTGATCTGCCAATAGTCACAACTCTCAGTAAAGAAGAAGGGGTACATGGTTTTTATATCAACTATCCATAGCTGCTCAGAATTCTTGCCTCCTTCCTCGTTGCTCCAGAGTTCCAGATGACAGGGGCTAGGAAGTTGTCTGCTGCATGAAGGGCTGCCACTTTAATACAGAGTCTCAGCAGCAGCTTAGGGAGCTCAGTGGTAGGAATGAAGGTTGGGGCAGGTAACACGCTGCATTTACAAGAATGATAAAATAACTTATTTACCTATCAAAGGCTGGGAGCAGCTAGTGCGAGAGCTTAAGATTAAGAAGAGGCTAAAACCCCCACACACACCATCCTACACCACGTACATTTAGCACTCAATTAAATAAAAGATCTGCTATAGAACCCATAGCTACCGTGTTTCCCCGAAAATAAACCTACCATAAAATAAGCCCTCCAGGATTCTAAGCATTTGCGCACTATAAGCCTACCCCGAAAAATAACATAATGATTGGCGTGGCTACGCAGTGTATCTTGCAACCCATGCATTTCATCAGGAGCAGTAAAGACAATGGGCACCCTTCTCATCGCCCCATGAGAGCCTCTATTGCTCGAACTGAGAGATTGGGGCCAATGGTTCTAAGGAAATAGAGTCGCAAGAAATTCAGGATGGATATTCGGGGTTTGGAGAGTTATGACAATGTCCCAGAAGATGATGACTTAACTAATTTGAATAAATGTAGACTGTTGTACTGTACTTAAAAAAATAACACATCCCCTTGAAAAAGCCCTAGGGTCTTCTTGAGGAAAATAAATAAAGACCTATCTTATTTTGGGGAAACACGGTAGTTTGGTAAAAAGAAAAACCTGAGGGACTTTAGACACCATCAAAAAGGAAGCAGGGAGTATGCAATGACTTAGGCAGCCCCAACACAGAAGTGGTGATTTTCCTCTTCAAAGACTCAGGTGCTTTTGCAAAGGTCAGGACATTATTATGAAAATGAGACCACCCTGCCCCTTCACTGGAAGGAAGGTGGGTGGTAGCCACCAGAAGCCACAAAGGGACTTCTAGTTTGGCTCAACATGCAAAGAGTTTGGAAGCCTACTGCTCCATCTATACAATAAGAAAAGCTGAACGAACAAAATCAATGTTTTTCTTGAACTCGTCAGAGAATAACTAACCAAACCCAAACTAGAGAGAGAGAATGAGAGAAATCAAAGAGTCACACCAAGATCTGTTCCCTGGTGCAGAATCTGCTACCCACAAACTGTAGGATACTTAACGGTGACTTTGCAAAAATCGCTGGGGATGAGCGTGACTAGCATGAGAGTACAAACTCCTCCAAGCACAGTTTTAGGGACCCAGCTTGTATAGTTTATCAGCAGGAACCCAGTTCTCACTGTGAAGGCCAAGAAGACTCATGGCCCACTCAGGCAGAAGGAAGAGTAATGAGTGTCCAATATCCTCAGAGCATTCTCCGAAACAAAGGCCAGCTCTCCAGGAACAAGACTTCCCCAGTGCCTTATCCTAGCTGAGAAAAGCATTTTTTGACTCCCACCCTCTCTAGCTTTCCTGTCTCCTCTTAAGTGTGGTGTAGGAGGGACAGAAATCACTTGCAGGTCACACCCCAGGGACAAAGGCCCACTAAAGACATCTACTGATAAGATTATGACACCCTTCCCCAGCCGCACACCTGCCCACCACACCAACACGCTCCAGTGTAATGACAGTGATGACGCTGAAAGAGCTGCAAAGACGCAGACTCTATCTGAGAGAGTTCTAAGATGCCCAAGACAAAAGCAGACCAAAGGAGGACACCTAAGGAATTCGAAAGCTCTGACACCCCACTGCTACAGCAAACAGTGAATATTCCTAGCCAGAGTGACACAAACTCACCTTCAGAGATTTTCTCAGTTCCCATTACCCAAAATATTATTGCTGGCTTCTGACAAAAGAATGACAATGTATGCTAACAGGTAAAAAAAACACAGTCTGAAGAGAGAAAGCAAGCATCAGAATGAGACCCATATATGACATAGATCTTGGAATTATCAGACAGGGATTTTAAAAATAACTATGGTAATTGCTTAAGCGTTAATAAAGAAGGTAAATACTATGCAAGAACAGATATTGATTAGCATCTTCACCTAACAGAAAAAATGAACTAACTTGCTGTCTTAAGATTAATCAGGTGAGCTCCCTCGATAATTAACTGCCTTAGAGATTTTTTACAGCATTGAAAAAAGCTCAGCAGACAAAAAGAAGTGTAAATCCTCCCCTAGATTGGCCACACCTGTTTGCCAGAACTATGATAAGCAACTCCGGAGCAGGAAAAAGACAAAAACAGGAGAAACAGACACCCTGACATCTTACAGCCTCTCCTGCTAAATCGGTCTACCAATAATTTTTATTTACCACCTTACGACCCCCAATAAATGCCCAAAGCCACTGACCTCAGGCCAAGAGTCTTTCTTCCTTTCTTAATTGACCTTTTCCCCTTTTAGGAAAAGTAAAATAAACTTCAACTTTCTATCCCAATCCTTGTGTTGAAAAGCTTTCCTCTACCCACCCATGAGCCCCTCACCTCCAACTTCGCCCTAACATCTGGGCGTACAGGAAGAAACACTTTCGCCTCTGTCTTAAACTGCTCCTCCCTCCGCTACACAGCTGTCAGGACATCATTCTCAGTGTAAATTCCACTGGGAACTTGGTAAGTCCCTAGGGCTTTGGAATGTCACATGCGGAGGGAGAGCAGTGCTCATGGTATGGGTCTCTGGTGCGGGCTGCCACTCTGGGAGAGGGGTCCGTGGGGGGACACGCCTCCTAACCACCTCCCCAGGACTTCCCCAGACCCGAGACACCTGGCTTTGGGGAACTCCCTCCCTAAGTTTCGGTCTGGACCAGGAACTCGGACACCTGCTTCTGGCCGCACCCTAACTCATGTAGGTCTGACTCAGAGTCAGGGACATCTGATGACTAATGAGCACCTGAAGTCCCAGTGTGGGGAATGCCTCTTCTCAGACTCTCAGTAGGTCAAGTACGACTGTACCTTAAAGTCCCCAGAGCTTTCTTTCACCTAGTTATCCCACGGCAACGTTCAGTCGGCCCTACCAAGGCTCCCCATTGGATATCTCCGTAAGAATGTGTCAACCTTTAGGACTTATATACTCCACCCCCAAATATCCCAGTCCAAACCCATTGATAAGAAGAATATTCATTGAACTAAAGAAAGGGAATAAAGGATGGCCTATTAACAAACAACAGAGAAAAATAAACTCACGTCTTTAAATAATCACTGAGCTCCTCACAATTAACCGCCTGCAGAGATGTCTCACGCATTTGAAATGAGCTAAGGTTGCAGGTGCTGTGCCATTTCCTCACTCTACCCCCCTCCCCTCTCCAGAAAAGGTGAAACTTTTTCTCTCTTTATATCCCTAATTTTTAAGAATTTCTTTCTCTCCACACCATTAAGCTCCTCACCAACTTCACCCTAACAATGGTAAAGTAAGCAGACAGATGGAAAACTCTGAGGAAGAATTTAAAGAAATATTAGAGATTTTAAAAACTAAGAAAATGAAGATTGTCTTTGATGGCCACCAACAGACTGGACACAGTCAAGAAAAGAATCCATAACTTGAAGACAGATCAATGGAAACTTCAAAAAACTAAAAACAAGAGAGAGCAAGCAAAGGACAGAACACCAGCAATGTGGAAAATTCCAACAGCTTAAGATGTGCATAATTGGAAAACAGAAGAGAAGAGAGACTGATCATTTAAGTAATAATGGCCAAGAATTTCCAAAATTAATGACAGACACCCAAGCCACAAATCCAGGACACAGAGAACACCAAGCAGGACAGATATCAACAAATCTCCACCCAGGCAATCAGTGAGACCTTCTTCTACTGAAAATAGAAAGAAATTAGCTGGAACACTAAAAAATTATAAGAAAAAGTTAGCAGGGCATGGTGGTCATGCCTGTAGTCCCAGCTACTCGGAGGCTGGCAGGAGGATTGCTTGAGCCCAGGATTTGAGGTTACTGTGACCTGGGCTGATGCCATGGCACGACAGTTGGGGACGCTGCCTTAAGCCAAAACCTAGTCCAGAGCAAGACTGTAATGCTCTCAATCCTGTGAAGGCTGAGAGAGGTGAGGAAGTGCGGAAGAGAATTTGAAACCAGCAGAACTTGGTTCTGAGTTTAAGGAAAGAAGCCTTCGCATGATATAAAAGTGCAAAGTGAAGCAGCAAGTGCTAATGGAAAAGCTGCAAAAGTTACCAGAAGATACTAGCTAGTGGTGAAGTATAGCTCCACCAGGAAACAGATTTCAGTGTAGATGAAAGAGCCTTTTCTATTGGAAGAAGATGCCACCTAGGACTTTCGTAGTTAGTAGAAGTCAAAGCCTGGCTTCAAAGGACAGGCTGATCAATGCAACTGGTGACTTGAAGCCAGTGCTCATTTACCATTCTGAAAATCCTAGGCCTTTAGAATTATGCTACCTATTCTGCCTTTGCTGTATAAATGAACAACAAAGCCTGAATGGAAGAATACTGTTTACAGCATGGTTACTGAATATTTTAAGCCCATTGGACCATTGGCCACTAACATATATATATCAAAAATTTAGCGGCGCATGGTGGCGCATGCCTGTAGTCCCAGCTACTTGGGAGGCTGAGGCAGAAGGATCGCTTGACGCCAGGAGTTTGAGGTTGCTGTGAGCTAGGCTGATGCCATGGCACTCCTCTAGCCTGGGCAACAGAGTGAGACTCTGTCTCAAAAAAAAAAAAAAGAAAAATCACAACTATACCATATCAAAGAGAACAGGACAGGACAGAAGAGAACAGTTGAGGTCCTAAAAGCAGATGAGGTTCTAAAGTGGTATTACCTTCAAGCTTCACCGACATGCAGATACTCAGCATGCTCAGGCCTTAAGGTTTGGAATATTCCAACTGGAACGAAACTCACCAGTGGCTATGGCCCAGTAAACGTCTGATCCATTCAGTAACTCACCACATGCTATGGGAGAATAAACCTGGGACCCAGGAACTTGAAGCAGAATCCGAAATGGAGCGACCCTGGCGTTGGAGTCCAACACTGCATCCAGAGCACCGACCAGGCGACCTTCGAAAGAAAAAGACAAGAAAGCACACCTGTGAGTACAGGGACTGACCCCTCCGGCCAGTCAGAGTGCTGGAGCCTGCACCCTGTGCACTCGGGGCAGCCTGGTCACCGTCTGGACCCTACGCCGGGCTGCAAGTTTCACGTCCAGTTCTTCGATCACCTCAGCAGAGCCCGAGCTCCCTGAGGCCAAGGGCTCTGTCTGCCTTGTACCGTGTCCCCAGCCTCTGGAACAGGTCCTGGCACTTACGAGCACTCAGCACCAGTTTGCCAAATCAACAAGTGCACAGGGGCTGTGGACCTGGTCCCAGGCCTAGCTGAGGCCACATGACCCAGGAAGTAGATAAGCAGGGGCTCTGCAGTCACACTGCCTGAGCTGAACCCTTGGCTCCACTGCCTCTGAGCTGTGTGGCCCCAGGCAAGTTATTCACTTCTCTGTGCCCTGCTTTCCTCGCTTATGAAATAAAATAGTCACAGTATCCCTGCCTCACAGAGTGACTATGAGAATTAGATGAGTTAACGTATCCAACATTCAAAGTGCTTTAGACTATTGCCAGGCCCGTAAGAAGCACTGTGTAAGTGTCACCCATTATCATCATCATTTTAGCATCATGATCCTCATCTCCAATACAGGAGAATATTCCCTGCCTACTCCAGGAGAGTATTGTTGAGAAATAAATGAGACAATATATCAAAGTTCTTCAAGGCACACAAAGCACATAATGGGAGTCAAGGGCCAGCATTCTGCTGTGACCGGTGGCATCAGGAATCAACGGCATTAAAAAAGAAAAAAAAGGTATATGCTCCTTCTAATCTTTTTTTTTTTTTTTTTTTTTTTTTTTTTGAGACAGAGTCTTACTCTGTTGCCCAGGCTAGAGTGCCGTGGCGTCAGCCTAGCTCACAGCGACCTCAAACTCCTGGGCTCAAGTGATCCTTCTGCCTCAACCTCCCAAGCAGCTGAGACTACAGGCACGTGCCACCATGCCCGGCTAATTCTATCAATTTTTGGTAGAGACGGGGGTCTCACTCTTGCTCAGGCTGGTCTCGAACTCCTGAGCTCAAACGATCCACCCACCCTGGCCTCAGAGTGCTGGCATTACAGGCGTGAGCCACCGAGCCAGGCCTCTAATCTTCTATTGCCTACAAATCAAGACAGCCAAGAGAGTAAACCCTCTCTCACCTTACTTTACATATTATCCTTAATAAGAGCCACAAGTAGCGGGAGCAAGTAATATGTATATTTTTGTATATTTCAGCAACCTCAAATTTAAAGAAAAGTTGAGTCATTAGGGAGTAAGTTACTAACCTAACACTCCATCACACCCCTAGATGCTGCAGTATAGGCTTTGTACAAGCAAGGACATCCTCCCACATAAGCACAGTACGACCATCTAATTCAGAACATTAATATGGATACAGTCCCACCATCTAATTCTCAGGACGCATTCAATGTTGCCAAATATCTCAATAACCTTCTTTTGCTACAACGGACCCTGTTCAGAATCACATTTAGTTGTTACGTCTCTTTTGTCTATGCCAGTCTGGAGAAGTCTTTCTTTGATTTTGATAACCTTGACGCTTTTGAAGATTACAGAGCAGCTTTCTGTTTGTTTGCTTTTGAGACAGAGTCTCACTCTGCTGCCCTGGCTAGAGTGTGGTGGCATCATCACAGCTCACTGCAACCTCAAACTCCTGGGCTCAAGTGATCCTCCTGCCTCAGCCTCCCAAGCAGCAGGGACTACAGGTGTGCTACCACACTCAGCTAATTTTTATTTTATTTTGTAGAAACAAGGTCTCACTATATTGTTCAGGCTGGTCTCAAACTCCTGACCTCAAGGAATATTCTCCCCTCAGCCTCCCAAAGTGCTGAGATTACAGGTGCACCCAGCCCAGAGCAGTTTTCTTATATGTCCTAAAGTCTGGGTTTGTTTGAGGTTTTGTCATGGTTAGATTCAGGTTATCTTTGGCAACAATCACAGAAGTGATACTGTGTTCTTTTCATCACATCCTTTCAGGTGGCAAATGATTTCTGTCCCAGTCATGGTAATATATGCTTTGATCACCTGATTAAAATAGAAGTTGCCAGGCTTTTGCACTAAATAGTTATTCCATTTTACTTTGTAAGTAACAAGTATTCTGTGAAGATATACTTTGAAACTGTGTAAATTTCCCATTCCTCATCAAATATTCCATTTATTTATTTATATCAGTACATCTTGTTTTCCTACTTTATTCAATGGGTCATAATCCATTACATCATTATTTTGATGCCCAAATTGTCCCAGCTTTGGCCAATGGGAACCCCTTCAAGCTGTGTCCTTTGGACACGTCCCCATCATTTTTCATATTTTCTGGCAAAAGAAAATATTCCAACTTCATCTTGTACATTCGCAACTCCAACCTGAGAACCAGTCATTTCTCCAAGGAGCTCTGGTGCCTTCAGGGAGGAATGGTATTTAAAAGCCAGTATGTGGGAGCCAGGTATGCTCATTACTAATGGGATGGCCCCAGGACCCCAGCGGACAGAGCCAGAGAATATATATCTGTGTGTATACATGTGTGTGTCTGTATATATATATGTGTATTGTCAACTGAAGAAATGATGAGGTTCATACTTTGGAAAGGAGGGCTTTATTTTTCATAAAGGCCTGCAGCCTCTGGGTGACCATTCCACCAGGAGGGGAGGCAGAGCCCCAGCCAGAAGCCGAAAACATGGCTTCAAGGGAGCGACAATGGGAACAGGAATTTATACAGAGCGGGATGGCCAAATATACACATTCAACAAGATATAAGAGTCATGAATATTTACAAAAGGAGAAACACGTGCCTGCATATTCGAGCTTCCTGCCCGTTCATGGGATCCATGTTCAGAAAACGGCAGCTGTCTGGTGTCTAAAAGTGAAGCAGAGGACATGAAAACCCTATCTGCACATGCTCCACAGAGTGGTTAAAATCACTCTGTGGGTGGTGGTCTCTATTAGGAAAGAATGCTGGTCAGTGGTAGTGCAGAAACTGCCAATAGGGAGAAGCAGGTCACAAGACTGGTTTCTGTTTAGCCCTTAGGGCAAAAAGTTTGATGGCCAGTTAGCAAGGGAGGGGGTATGAGGCATGTCTGACTTTCTGTCCAGTCAAGCTGGGAACTCAGTTTCAAGGTTTCTCTAGGGTCCCCCCTTGGCCAAGAGGGGGCCCATTCAGTCAGTAGGGGGATTTTATTTTAGTTCACGGCATATACAGGTGACCCTTGAAGAGCATGTGCTTGAACTGCATGCAGCCACTTATATAATGATTTTCTTCCGCCTCTGCCACTCTTAAAATGGCAAGACCAACCCTTTTCCTACTCCTCAGCCTACTCAACATGAAGACAATGAGGATGAAAACCTTCACGATGCTCCACTTCTATTTAATGAATAGTAAATATATTTTCTCTTCTTGATATTTTTTTTAATTATCATTTTCTTTTCTCTAGCTCACCTTATTGTATAGATACAGTATGTAACACATATAACATACAAAACATGCGTTAACTAATGTTATCTGTAAGATTTCTGGTCAACAGTAGGCTCTTAGTAGTTAAGTTTGGGGGGGAGTCAAGTTATATGTGGATTTTTGACCACACAGGGGGTCGGGCTCCCCTAACCCTGGTGTTGTTCCAAGGCGAACTGTATGTACATTTATAGATTGATACATGCACATGCACACACATACTTGTGACGTATTTACATCTATTTGTATTTTTATATATATCTACGCAGAGAAAAACTGAGTTCACACCAATACCTCCAAATGCAATCCAGTATCACAATGTTCGTTCTCCTTTCTTTACACATTCGACACTCCCTTCTACAACATGAGAAGTCTGTTTTCCATTATTCTGAATATATTTACTTACCTGATCAGTGTTCCTGTTGCTACCAATATCCCCTCCCCAGCAGGTGTCCTTCTCACCCTCTCCAGGCTCCAACTGCCCATATACCCCACCCCTACAATCTCCCTGATCTGCCATAATTCACAACTCTCAGTAAAGAAGAAAGAAAGGGTACATGGGTTTTTATATCAACTATTCCTTAGGCTGCTCAGAATTCTTGCCTCCTTCCTCGTTTGCTCCAGAGTTCCAGATGACAGGGGGCTGGGAAGTTGTCTGCTGGATGAAGGGGCTGCCACTTTAATACAGAGTCTCAGCAGCAGCTTAGGGGAGCTCAGTGGTTAGGAATGAAGGGTTGGGGGCAGGGTTAACACGCTGCATTTACAAGAATGATAAAATAACTTATTTACCTATCAAAGGCTGGGGAGCAGCTAGTGCTAGAGAAGCTTAAGATTAAGAAGAGGCTAAAGACCCCCCACACACACCATCCTACACCCACGTACATTTAGCACTCCCAATTAAATAAAGAGATCTGCTATAGAACCCATAGCTACCGTGTTTCCCCGAAAATAAGACCTACCCATAAAATAAGCCCTCACAGGATTTCTAAGCATTTGCGCACTATAAGCCCTACCCCGAAAATAAGACATAATGATTGGCGTGGCTACGCAGTGTATCTGTGCAACCCATGCATTTCATCGAGGAGCAGTAAAGACAATGAGCAGCCCTTCTCATCCGCCCCATGAGAGCTCTATTGCTCGACATGAGAGACTGGGGCCAATGGTTCTAAAGGAAATAGAGTCGCAAGAAATTCAGGATGGAATTCGGGGTTTGGAGAGTTATGACAATGTTCCAGAAGATGATGACTTAACTATATTTGAATAAATGTAGACTGTTGTACTGTACTTAAAAAAATAACACATCCCCTTGAAAATAAGCCCTAGGGTGTCTTCTTGAGGAAAATAAATATAAGACCCTATCTTATTTTGGGGGAAACACGGTAGTTTGGTAAAAAGAAAAACCTGAGGGACTTTAGACACCATCAAAAGAAGGAAGCAGGGAGTATGCAATGACTTAGGGCAGCCCCAACACAGAAGTGGTGATTTTCCTCTTCAAGACTCAGGTGCTTTTGCAAAGGTCA